CCCCCGCTTCAATCATGGGGCTTAAACTCATGGCCTGGAAGCTGTCCCCAAACTCTTTTGCTCAAAGCTAGTGCACTACCCTTTTTTTGCCAGTCTTGGGGCTTGAACTCAGGACCTGGGCATTGTCCCTGAGCTTCTTTTGCTCAAGGATAGCACTCTACCACTTGAGCCACAATGTCACTTTTGATATTTTCTGTTTGTGTGATACTGAGGAATTGAACCCAGGGCTTCCTGCATGCTAGGCAAGCACTCTACCACTAAGTCACATTCCCAGCCCCGCTCTACCTATTTGAGTCACAGCACCAGTTTTGGTTTTCTGGTGGTTAAACTGGAGATAAGTGTCTCATGAGGACTTTTCTGCCCAGGCTGACTTCTAATCATGATCCTTAGATCTCTGCCTCCCCAGTACCTAGGATTATATGTAAGCCATCAGCACCCAGTGCTTCTCAAGTTTTGATGTATACTAAAAACCGGCCAGGAAGACACAAACCAAGCCATGACCTTCCTACAGCCCAGTTATACACAAGTAGGACAGATCCTTCCAACATAGTTGCAGTGAGAAGGTCTCTTGATTGGCAGTGCCAACATAGTCTCACACACTTTGTCACTTTGTAGCATTTTCTCTGCCCACTACCCCAAATTTTTCTTTGGGAAATGAGGAAACACAACTCAGAGAGGTTATCAGTGAGATCAAGCCACACAAACTTAGTCCTTAGTCCTAGTCTCTCCTCCAATTACACTGCTCCTAAAGGGAAGGGGAGAGCTTTGTTACTTCAAAGCGGCTGCCTGGCATCCTGCCTGTACCCCTGAACTGTGAGTCAGCCCTTCAGATACCAGCAAGTGATAACTAGATAGTCTCCAAGCTTGAAGACACTCCCAAATCCTAGACATAAAAAAGAGGGACATTCAGAAGAAGCAGCACAAGCAGCCACAATCCATTGCCTATTAGGAATTGCTACACATGGTTCTTCTCTTTCTATAGCCCCAGTCTGGAGCAAAGCCCATACAAAGAAGGGGAGCAAGGTATCAGACTGCAGCAGGGATTGTGAACTTGGGCTTCGTGGATAGCACTCAGAAGTTCTAGGCCCCCTCTGAAATTCCTTGCATGATCATGCATATAGTACATTTGCCTGGGAAGAATGTGTTAGATTTCTGGAGGTCCCAAAAAGATCAAGGACTCAAAGATGTTAAAAACCACAAGAATTGCCAGCCACTGGTGGCTCACGCCTGTAATCCTAGCTACTCAGGAGGCTGAGATCTGAGGATCACGGTTCAAAGCCAGCCTGGGCAGGAAAGTCCGTGAGACTCTTATCTCCAATTAATCACCAGAAAACCGGAAGTGGTGCTGTGGCTCAAGTGGTAGAGCGCTAACCTTGAGCTGAAGAGCTGAGGGACAATGCCCAGGCTGAGTTCAAGCCCCATGACAAAAACAAAAACAAAAAACACACAAGAATTAAGAAGACTCAGAGTCCCCAACCTTGTATATGTGCTCTGGGCATTGATCCAGAACCAAACGCATCATCAAATGTAGGAGAAATTCTCTTACCAGTGCAGGTGATCAGCACCATCCTGGCTATTGCCAGAAGATTGGAAAGAAAATAGTATTTGGGAAAAAGCTACTTTGGCATACAGCACAATGTAGTAGAATATTCCTCCAGTCAAGTCTCAGAGTCTTAGAAATGATGCCCTTGTCATTTATCAAGGATTTTTGGATGCCCCTGTGCTTCCCCTCACACAGTGTCCAAGAACCATGACCACTTCCTTGAAGGTCCTTTCTACATTCCAGGAAGCACAAGGCAGCCCTCCAGGCCTACATACAGCCTTTACTGGTTAAGGTCAAGGGAGTCCAAGAAGAGGAGGACTTCTGATTAACCTTCTCCTTTCAGCATCAACCATTCCAATCCTGCAGCTGAGGGGGCAGTAGACCAAAAGACCCAATGTGCGAGGGAAATACTCTCAACAGAAAGACGCTCAGGTTCCCCAGAATGTGCAATCACACAGGGGAGCCCACAGTGTTTGTGAACTCCCCATAGCAGCTTCCAGCTGTCACTGGACGATGCTTCCTTCTCTCTGTCCTTTTACCCCCCCAAGTAGGGGATTGTGAGCCCCCACCACATTTCTGTATTCCCCAAAGCACCCCTCCCAGGGCTAGGGGGAATAGCACATGATCAGTAAAAACTTCTTAACTGTTGGGTGTGCATACGGGATATGAGGGTCTGGAAATTCCATTATTCTGTTTGAAAGCAAAGGAGTTAACATAGAGGCGGTTCCAATTTTCAAAAGACAAAAAGAAATACGCACAGCTAAAGTTATGCGGTGTGGGATGTCATCTTTTTTTGATGATTCAATTCAGGGAAGGCAACTGGGGATACAGCAGTGTCTTTGGTTGTTTGGAAAAGCTTTTCCAAAGAGTAGAAGCCCCATATCTTCCTAAATTCCCAAGTCTCTGCTTCCTTTGCCTTGTGCAAAGGAAAGGATGGAGTATGCTGAAGTAACACTGTATCAGATACAAAGACGGGGGTTGAGGAATGTGGGGTGGGGTGGGTGGGGAATGTTTGCTACAGAATCCAGAAGAGATGTGGATACAATTAGATTTTGGAGGCTTCCTCCCAGGAAGGCACTCCTTCAGCCTCTTCCATCAGTGATGGGAAAACCTCACAAAGGTCACCAAAGGAGGCCTCCCCATCTGTGCCAGCCATAGGGGCAGTAGACTGGGTCTATACTAGGGTTGGTATAGCAGGACATAAGGCCGGTCTGCCACAAAGCCAGGCCAAGGCAACCAGTTTGGTGATTCAAGAGAGCAGCTTTGTTTGCACCCTCCTGCCCCTCTCACACTTAACAAAATTCATGGCACAGGCTACTCGTGTTTCCAAAAGAAACTGAGAAGGAAAAACAAGCCAGTGGTGGTGGACATTATCAACCCCAAGCAGAAAGCATTGGCCAGGTTTGCAGAGCCTGTTCCTAACCAGTGGACAGGAGGAACAGGTTGAAGGCAGGGCTGGGTAGCATGAAATTCCCTCCTAGGGCTAGGAAACCAAACCCAGCTCCCTTCTTTTGGAGGCTTTGGGGAGGGGGGGGGAGGCTCCTGGTCATGGTACCAGCCAGAGTTAGGGGATGTGAAACACTATCTCCATCCTGAACTGGAATAGAGGATATCTCTTAAGTGGGCGAATATCCTAGAGGATGGCAGCTCAGCAGTCCTGGGGCCATGCTGTTGAACTCCCCCTCGCGAGGCTGGGTCCAGCAGATAACTGCGCAATCCTTGGGGACCCTCGGAAGGGGATAAGGCCAGTGGGCAGGGACGAAGAACCCTGGCCCAAACCAGGCATGCATCCCGGCCTCCCCTCCTACAGGCCAACCCAGTAGACCCTTACCGGGGAAGAGGAGCGGGGACAATAGTCCAACAGGTCCCTTTCAGCGGGCCTCAACCAGACAGCCTTCCGCTGCCTTCCCCTGAGGCCCCAAATTCAGCGAGAGCGCCCCAGCCCCGGCGGCCACGCGGGGCTCCGTCCTCTCAGAAGACGGCCCTGGGCGTTGTCCCTCGAGGCGTTCTGCTTGAGGCCGGGAGCTCCCGGGGCCCGCGCCCCCCCACGCCCCCTACCCGCGCTCACCTGGCGCAGGTGCTGCAGCAGCGTCCCCGCCTCTTCCCGCCGGCCCTGGCGCACCATCCTCAGCAGCTCCTGGACCATGCCGACGCGCCGGTGGTAGGG